TGCCAGATTTGAACATTAGTAGCGCGTTCGGAACAAACCCTGCTTCTGACCCAGCGTGTACCATCACTATCCGCTGACCTTTTGATATCGGGCGCTTTAGTCCTTGAGCGGAACCATCTGACCACGCCTTACCTTTTGTATGTGATGAGTGGGCATACGACTCGTCAGTGAATACAATTGGTCGCCCTTCGTCCCTGTATTTTTTCATTGCCTTCAAGTACAAGATCCTTTTCAGGCGAATGTCGGTCTTCTCTATAAGAACCATTCTATTGGTTTCGGTCTTTCGCCACTTGAAACCCAAGTTTTTGATAATTGTCTTTAAGCTCGTTTTACCACCTTGAAAATTTATATCCCGTTTGAGTTTCGCTAGTAATTTGTTTATCGTCGGCATTTCTTTTTCAGTTTTGTGGAAGTTGTGTATGCATCTTTTTACTACTCCCTGGTCAAAATTATCCATATCAGTAATAGGTTTTGATCTAGACCTTTTTTTACCAGGCGTGCGGAATACTGAAAGTAAGCCCGAAATATTGCCTTCAGTTGCGATCCGCTGTACTGTGCGTTGGGACACACCAGTTGCGTTAGCAACTCTTAAATAAACTTTATCGACATCTTTTACGCCTTCTTCTTTTTCTTTTTTCATATATTGCGTTAAATCGTAAATAATTTTTCTCGCCTGGCGATTTAACACACTGTTATGTTTTGGTGGCATGTTTGGCGAATAATATAAGTGCTAACTGACACTTGCAAATAAAACAAATAAAACAAATAAAACAAACAAAACAAACTTAACACTATTAATAAAAACAAACAACAATAACAACGAAAACTTTTGTAACCGACTGTGCTCAAGACAGAGATAGCGACACGAACACGACACCAATGCTAACGTGTGACTGAGAAATATTACCGTGTACCGAGCATTGCCGAATAAGCACGAAGCTTTACGAAGTAACCAGAAAGGGATGTCCAACACGCGTGCCTGAGGGTGTTGTTTAATCGATTTTTATTCAAATCGATTAAAATTAAGACATAAAAATATATTTATTTGCAATTTATAAGGAGGTTCTAAATTTTCTCAAATAGTCGTTACTCAAGAAGACGTTAATAGATAATTGATATTTAAGTACATTATGTCTTTCAGCTGAGAAAATAATATGTTTTTAGTTTTTTTTTTTTATTTAAGTCGAAATCTTGTTTATTATCAACAAAATTCACTATATTTGTAAATCTATTTCGTTTAATATCTTATATAAACAAAAATCAATAACTTCTAAATAAAACTAATCGATTGCGATATTTTATGACTAAAGGGTCGATTGTGTTTACTTATGGTCAATCTCTAGCCTAGACCACCGCCCCCCGTACGTCGCCTCATGCCACCATTTTGTTCCTTAAAAAAGCTATTGCGCAACCTTCTGCGCGAAGGTCGGACTCGCCAAGATACGTCGGCCGTATTATACACGGTGGCGACACTGCTTTACTTACATTCACAGAGTACCTTAATACCTTTATAATATTATATAATTAACATTTTTACATTAGAGCGTAGACTAGGGATGCAGGAATTGCCAAAATGTATCGATATATATCGTATCGATATTTTAAGTAAATAAAAATTAATATCGATATATCCGTGATATTTTTTAAAATATTTTTACTTTATGAATTTCTATTGTGTTTGCCTTTACTAGTCTAATTCAATAAATCTGTCAGTATTACTATTCATATAAACCCCATTCTGGAAAAAACTTTTCTGATAAACTTTTTAATCGAACAAAATAGAATGTGGTGGGGGGATGAGTCGCTCGCGTCCGTAGGCTTCGACCGCCTAATTCTAGGTCCACCCTACACGTGTCCCCCGGGTGGTGCTAAACAAGCGACAAAACCGAAACAACAGACTCGGCTCCTCGCCGTGTGGTAGCGGCGCAAAAAATACCACTCCCTACTTTCGCACCATGAGGCAAAACATTTACGAAATGGCCCCGAGTTACCGGCGCCCCTTTAATGGGGCAGGGGTGCGAAGAATCTTCAGAAGGAAAACCGGCAACGAGGTTACATTAATGACCAGGACATTAAAAGAAAAGGGAATGAAAATGAACGCAAGTAAGACGAAATTTATGGTTTTTGAAAGAGAAGAAAGTAAAACGATATGTGAAATAAGAATAGAAGGGGAGTTGGTCGAGCAAGTAGATGAGTTTGTGTATTTAGCAGGGATGGTAGAAATTATAAGGATATAGAACGACGAGTGAACGCAGGAAATAGAGTGAATGGAGCTCTACACCCTATTGTGAGAAGTCAGAATGTGTCCAAAAAGGCACGTTTGGCAATTCACAATGCTGTATTAGTCCCTTCTTTAATGTATGGTAGTGAAAGTTGGGTGTGGCAGAAGTAGCACGAGAGTAGAATAAATGCTGTAGAAATGCGATCATGAAGGAGTATGTTAGAGATAAATCTGAATGACAGAGTGAGAAATTGTGTGATAAGATAAGAGTGTGGTATGCAAAATGATGTTGTGACCAGGATTACGAAGGAAATGCTTCGGTGGTTTGGTCATGTAGAAAGAATGAATGAGGAAGAGTGACAATGCAAATTTATGTTGCAGAGGAGGAAAACGGCAGAGTTGGGTAGGGACGCCCTAGGCGAAAGTTTATCGACTAATTGGGCGATATATTGAAAATGGGTCAAAGAGTGCCTTTAACCGACGAGCATGTATGCGTAGGTATATAGATGTGGAGGAATCGAGAGAGGTGAGTAAGGATCGTGCCAAATAGAAGTCCATAGTCTCTGCCTACCCCTCTGAGTGACAGGCGTGAGCGTTTATGTAAAATAGAATATCATACATTTAAATGCATTTTACTCTACCAAATGTAAGAAATACTTTTTACAGCTGTCACGTTTTTTGAACTAGGTCTTCCAACTAAAAAAAATCCGTACCTACAATATTCGATTCTTAAGTGATATCGATATTATAGTTGGTAATCTTTTATAGTTTTATCTAGAGTGATAACCAGTATAAAGTAGAAACAATAATCTCTTTTAACAGTGGTAGAGCCACGCGGCAGCTTTTGCTGTCGCACGGATGGGTCGGCTCGAACCGGGGTGGTACCACGACCTCACAGAAAACCAGCGTGAAGTAGAGCTTTACCTCTGCGTTTCGCTTGGTGAGTGCAGGTGGCCGGAGGCCCTTTTTACTGGAAATGAGGCATTCCATCTTAGTCCTCACGGGTGACAACGCATCTACATTTTGATTTGTAATAGAGGATAGATGTAGATGTCTATGGGCCGCAGCAACCACTTACCTTCAGGTGGACTGTGTGCTCCTTTGTCACCTTTATCCTATAAAAAAAAACACAAAATTTATCTGTTTTTCATATTCATTGGTTACTGCTAATATTTAGACATAATTATATAAAATAAAGACTGCAAAAGATTAAAAACAAATTTATTTAATTACTTTCACTGCAACTAGAGCTGACATCGTCATCGTTGTTTACATTAATTATTGTTTGATTTTCTATAATGCATTCAAAAGGAATGGCTCATTCATAGTCGTCCATAACAATTTACTTTGTTTCCTCCATCATTTTAACCAGTTGTAATAGTTGTATTTTCTACAAATCCTCCTCCGGCGGATCCCACATAGCAAATAATAAGGCGCCTTCCTTTTCCCATGGGCACGTGTCATCTGTTTATGTCTACGGTACACTGTAATTGGCGCTTAGACATATTTCATCAATGAATATACCGTTGTCCTAATTGGTTATATTTTAATTTCCCATAAAAATGTTCTTCTTTGCATTTATGTCTTTAAATAATTATTTTACGTTCGTCAACTTTATTGTATCGGAAGCAAATTTCTTTTCAAATGGTTCTCAATTACTCTATATTACCGTTGTGCGAGCCGGTATCTTCTAAACTTAGCTACTCACAACTTCGTTACAGTGGGATTCACAGAAATTATAAGAAAATAGACTACTTTTATTCATGATATTAATTTATGCAACTCTAAAAATAAAAGTTTAAATAAACTAATAATAAACTGAAAAATGTAATGGTTCAATTATTTCAATAATTTTAGCAGTTATTCGCATTAACATGAACTTGAATCATCCGAATACTACGGTATAGTATACTAATTTAGTGTAACATAACAAAAATAACTACCTCAAATATAGTTATCAGTTCCCACGAAAACTTGAGAGATAGTTATCCAATGAAATTATTGCGTTGAGGTGTCAGTGTGCACGCGCATCGTAACAACTTCATGGTGTCGTTTTTCGCTGTCGGTGTGCGCGCGCTCTGAAAAAAATTCACTATCACAATTTTCCCGAACGCCCCAAAAAAAGTATAACTTTAAAACCTCAAGCATAAAAATTGATTCTGGTTAATTTTTTACATTTTGTTTTGTTTGAAAGATTATAATTTAAATTAGTGATAAAGAACTATACGTGTGTAGACGAAATGAAGATAACTTCATAATTCTTTGGATTTACGCAAAAAAAAAAGTTATTTTAAGTCGTGTGAGTGTGTTGATACAAAATAATTGCGGAATGATTAAGATGAAACGTCAAATGGTATTTCATAGCATTTTATTTAGTATAGGCCAACCAATACTTTTTCGAAACAAATAAAAGAAAAATAAAAAAGAAAAATAAATGCTCTGCTGAAAGGCAATTTTTGTTATTGGGTAGGTTAAGATTAACAACTGATGCCACTTTTTCGGATGAAATTAAGGACTCTGGTAAAATCGCGGTTGTCAGTTCAAAATTTCACTGGTCAGTCAGTGATGAAAAAGGTGTTGTTATTGGAAATATATCGTTGTTGATACATTTGCAATACTTTATATTTTATATCGTTGATCGAAATAAAAGATGTCGCCCAATATATCGATATTAAACACAAAATGTCGATATATCGATACAATCATTTTTTTCTACAAGCCTAGCCTTAGACATTACGAAGCAAATTTTACTCCCTCTTAACCTAAAAGCTAAAACAGTGAATAGCAAACAGTATTAAAGTACTTAAATTAGCTTCCTACCTGTCATATTTATCAATCTCTGACTTAAATCACTGCGTTTAGTTTAGTTGTGAATAGTGATTATAAATCAAAATCTCTTGGATTACTCCATCCCTTCAGCCTTTGGTTGTTGAATTTTAATAACTGTATTCTTGGGAACATTCATTCTGTATAAAATATAAAAAGCATTTAAACACTAATAATGGCTGAGTAAGTACATAAAAATTAAAATAATTATTTTTTGTGTTAATTAAACCTTGCGTACGGTAGTTCGATATACCGGCTAAAGTGGTTGTTTTTAATTAAAAAAAAATTATAACTTATGTATGAAGACAAAGCTTGCATTGGCCTGAAATATTTTCTTGGAATAAATTTATTTCATTTAATTTTTTTCTATCCATTATGATTAGTCATTTGCAATGTCATGATCATGGTCACCAAGTAGGTACCGTTGTGAGGTAGCTTAAAAATTATCTCTTAGTAATTGTAAAAAATATTAGGTTCTTAGAAATCCTGATTATATTCTTAGCAAACCGAAACTTTCACTCGTTAGAATTTTATTAAAGTGATACTAAAATAATGAAATATATAAAAATAAGATATTTATTTTGTGTTATTACTTAGGCATTGATCTAAAGGTCAATTTAATATTTAAGGTCGCTCCAACAGTAATATGGCATAGTAATATTTATTATTGACCTTAATGACCTTGTATTACTTGTATTGTATTACTGAGGTTAGGTACTCTTTCTATATTATGATATATTAAACTATTGATGATGAGCAGTTATAAGCAATAATTACATTAATATAATAATTATGTCATTTGGCGGAAATTTGTTTAAAAATCTATTACAAAAAATAAAATTTGGCCAAGGTTATTTGAAGGTGAACTCCATGAGTACAATCACACAAAGAGTTGTCATTTGTTCTTAAATTATTCTGTTATTTAAAAGTTAGCTTAAAAATTGTTTGTAAGATTGATAAAGGAAGTTCAGACAATCTTAATCTAAAATCTGCCTATTTTTATGTTCTTGTGGCAACAAAAATGTGAAAAGTTTAAACATATACTACATTTTTCTATGTTTGCTTTTCTAGACCTAAAGCTGATATTGCCCTGATCGGTTTGGCTGTTATGGGACAAAATTTAATCCTCAATATGGATTCTAAAGGTTTTGTAGTCTGTGCATATAACAGAACTGTTGAGAAGGTACATAAATATTAATATTTAAATGTAATGCTTTCAAAAATTTATATTTATACTACATGACCAAAACAATTAGGCGCATGACAGCTAAGATGTCATTAGAACTAGGGAGGGAATGCCAGAATGGTGATTGGTCACCATTTCGGTGTTTCTGCAGTGAGGCGATAGAGGCAGGGTGTGGGTGCCGAAACTGCATTCCTGTCATGTGCCTAATTGTTTTAGGCCAAGTTGTACAGTAAGCGAAAGCAGTAACTTAACATTATCATTATTATATTAGGTTGAACACTTCTTAGCTAATGAAGCAAAGGGCACAAAAGTCATTGGGGCAAAGTCATTAGAAGATATGGTGCAGAAATTGAAAAAACCAAGAAAAGTAATGTTGTTAGTCAAAGGTAAGAATAAAATATAATTACACAGTTACATGTATTTTTGACTATATTTTTGTCTATCCTCTAGCATATTAAAAAAGTGTTGTAATTAGTGACCAACTGAAGATTCGGTTTTGGTTTTGGCAAGTTTCAGCAAAAAAATCTAGTTCCGGTAATAGTTTCGGTTTCGGCAAAAAATCTTTTTATTATTTTTATAAAATTAGGGTGACAAACGAGCACACAATCCACCTGATGGTAAGTGGTTTTCTGTGGCCCATAGACATCTACATCTATCCTCGATTACGAATCAAAATGCAGATGCGTTGTCACCAGTGAGGACTAAGATGGAATGCCTCGTTTCCAGTAAAAAAGGGTTTCCGGTTCTCTACACTCACCATACGAAACACAGCAGTGTTATGCTGCTATTTTACGCTGGTATTCTGTGAGAGCGTGGTCCTTCCCCGGTCAAGCCGACCCATTCGTGCTACAACTATACCAGTAATATAGCTGCAGCATGGCTCTACCACGTATTTGTCTCTGCTGAACCTTCGGCGGCACCGAAACTCGGTGTTCATTGATTAACGTGCGTCGATCGGATGAGCTTGTGACTCGCATATTATTCATAATTATACAGAAACAGAAACTTTTTTATTCAATATAGATTATATATAATACTTATTGAAAGTCACTTTTTTGTTTAATTACCATTGGTTCGAAAAAAAGGCTGTCCTTAGAAGAACCAGGAAGAAACCCAGTGGAACTTTTTAAATAACAGCTTACAATCAGAGGTGTAGCGTGAACTAATATAAATGTGGGCGAAGTTCCCTTTTCTTTTGTTCCAAGGATCTACCCAATAGATCTATCCCATCAAGCATGTTTTGACACGACATACCTACTCATATCTATTAATTCCTGACAAGTCTCGTATTCCGTCAATGTAACAGTCGCAGTCTCTGAAGGTAGTTACAATGGCCTTGCAGTCGCACTTAAAGGGGCTTCTTGTGAGGCCCCAAACAAACACACTGAAATTTTTATTTTCTTTTTCAAGCATAAAAGTGATCTAATTAATTAGTCATCTGTGGTAAAGTCTGGGGGCCAGGGCCCCCTTCACCCACGCCTACCTACACCACTGTTTACAATCATATATGTAACACAATTAACAACACAAAACAAATTAAAAATAGCTTGGTAGTGATCACCTCATTCCCAGGGGTTATTATCATCCATAAATTTCTTAATATTATAACCCTTTTTATACAAACTTAGTTTATTAAAGTTTTTGAACTTTGAGCAGGTTTTGTACATTTTCTGGGATTTTGTTGTGTGTAAGTGTGTGAGTGTGATATATTAAGTTAATGCTCTCATTGAATAATATTAACAATATTGTGAACACAATAAAATATGTTCTGAATTAGGAAGAAACTTTTATGGATGAAGTGTTGATTTTTTTACAAAATTGACTTAAAAAAGTATTTCTTGATGTTACATTGTTGATTTTTACTTTAAAATAAATAAATATATTGCTATATGACTATTACAATTAATGTTTTTCATTAACATGGATTATCTATCTGTATATGTATAAAATCATACCATATTTCAGTATACAACAAAAAAAAAATTAACATGTCTAAATAAGTTTCGGTTTCGGTTTCGGCCGAAACTGACACCCAAACCGAAGGTTCGTTTTCGGTTTCGGTTGAAAATCTTGTTTCGGTCGGACACTAATTTTTTCACTTTAACTACTAATTAGCATAATACCAAAAAGTGAATAGAATAGAACAAAGAAAGCAAAATATTTTGTAGTATCAGTTTTTAGTATCTTTAATTCATTTATCATTTCCTCATGGTGAGTATTTGCCATAGTTGCCGCTCCTGGCAAGCGGCATGACAACCGTAACTTTTTAGAATACAACGAGGTATGAAAAACATACCAGATTTCAGTATACAACAAAAAAAATTAAGATGTCTGACTGAAACCCGAAACTGAAATTTATTTAAGTTTCAGTTTCGATTTCGGATTCGGCCGAAACTGACACCCAGACGGAAGTTTCGTTTTCGGTTTCGGTTGCAAATCTTGTTTCGGTCGGACACTAGTTGTAATATAATGATTTAATTTCCATTAATTAAATTTCAAAACGAATTGTCTAGTTTTATACCCTTACTTTAAATTATGATTATAAGATTTTAATATACACTAGCAGTTTCTATATATTAAAAATATATATAAATATATATGTTTTTGTGTATGTGTTAATAAATAATATATTAATTTATTTACTTATTATAATTAACTTCCATGATTTTTGTTTGATCTTGGACCACATTAATAATTATTTACCTTATTGTAAAAGTAAGGTCATGTTTTGTCTATAAAAATAATTTGTCATTTTTGAAAATTAATTTCATTCTGTGTTTTAATTAGCTTTGTGAGGATGTATAAATCAATAAAAACCCTTAAGAATGAATATCAATGAAAATTAATCTTCATTTGATACTGGAAATTCAAGTTAACATGAAACAACAGTAGGTACATTGCGACCTATCTGTTAAAAACAGTAAATAGCAGACGATGCTAAAATAATAGAGGCATGTACTATGCAGAGACATGCTGTTTGCTGTTAGGAGTGCAAGTGCAATAACATCAGCTGTCAATGGTACATAAATTAAGAATGTAATATGTATTGATAAGCATACAAGTTTAATGTCATCCATAGCACTGGTACATCCCTGACACAGCATGGGTACAAGTGGATAAACCTTAACAGGAAGCAGATGCTCTAAATTTGGTTATTAGTGTGGGCTGATGAGATAATTCGCTATAAAGACTGCACCTATGTTATGCATGATTGATAAATGTAGACTAGAATCAATGGTTTGTCATGAAATCCACTCACTTTCATTGGAATTATAAGTGTAACATAATATGGTTTAAGAGTGTATATATTACATATATGCAACAATGGTTATTTATAAAAATTATTATATGTAAAAATTGTTGTTTTGCAGCGGGTTCAGCTGTTGATGAATTTGTTAAAAAATTGTTACCATTGCTTGAGAAAGGAGATATTATAATTGATGGTGGCAATTCTCAGTATACAGACACACAGAGGTGGTGCAAAGAGTTATCATCGACTGGAATTTTATATATTGGAATGGGAGTGAGTTTAATATATCAATGTTAGAAATGCTTATTACTTATATAAATATAGCTAAATGTAGCTTAAAGAAAGACATTCTTTTAATAAAACTTTTTTTTTAAGGTAAGTGGTGGAGAGGATGGAGCACGTTATGGACCCTCTCTTATGCCTGGTGGCCATCCTGATGCTTGGCCTGCAGTAAAGCCTATATTCCAAGTTAGTAAACATTTTATTATTAATAATATTATATTATAGTGGAATTTTGAAAGCAAAATAACATTGTATACATAGCCTAAGGTATAACAATTCAAAGGCAGTCCATTGAATTGTTTTTATTACTATTATTTCAAACAAACACATGAATGCATGTGTAATTATACATATTATCAGATTTCAGGCATTATCATTGTCAACAAGCTTATTAATTAATTTAAGACTGCAATAATTATGTCAAATTCGAAAATCAAAGTTTAAAATAGTATGCTGCACATATCACAAAAAAAAAAAACAATCGGTATAACCCTCTCAGAAATGAGAGGAGGCCTGTGCCCATCAGTGGGATGTATATAGGCTGTAACTTTAAATATAGCTGTTAATCTGTATAAGTACAAAGAAATTACCTCCTTATACCACCAGAAAGTCTATTTAAATCTTTTGGGGTACCTCAGTCTTACGGTTTGTGTGCATGTATCGCTGAATGCAAAGAAATTTATACCAAAATAAATTCGCAGGCAATATGCGCAAAAGTAAATGATGAACCATGCTGTGATTGGGTGGGAGAGGATGGTGCTGGACATTTTGTTAAAATGGTACACAATGGGATTGAGTATGGTGATATGCAACTAATTTGTGAAGTTTATCACTTCATGAAGGATATTCTTAGTAAGTATGAAAGACTTTATAAAGATTTGTTTTTATTTAACATGTATTCAATCAAATAAACATTTTTCTGCTTAGTCATTACATACACAAATAGATAATGAAATAATTATAAAATCATATTAAGAATTCGATGCTAATTTGCTTTAAATTACAGATCTTCACCAACGTGACATTGCCAAAGTTTTTGATGAATGGGGCAAAGGAGAACTGGATTCATTTTTGATTGATATCACCGCAGATATTTTAAATTTCAGAGACACTGATGGTAGGTATACGAGTATTTTAATGTTTATTTATTTCTTAAGTGTCATTAAAACTATGCTAATAAGCTATTTTTATTTAAATTGCTTATTAGTGTTATCAATATCACGTTATTAAAAATATTAATGCTGTCAAAATAAAGTGACAATGGCATTACCTATTACATGGGTCATGGTTTCAAATCAGCTGAAACCACATTTATACAGGAATATTAATTTTCTCCTTACATATCTGCTGGCCTACTCCCCACAGAATTGAGTTTTGAATCAATTGAATTTAATTTGAACTCTAGGCAATCCGTTGCCTTGAAATCAAAGCTAGTGCATAATTTATTAGAAGTTCAAATGGGCATTTTCAGAGTGAGAGTCTTCAGTCTTGGTTAAATTAAAAATTCACTTTTAGAATGTATTTAATTTATTAAAAATAAAAATATTCAGACGCGTTGTTGATAATAAAGTTTTATTTTAAAATCATTTAACTTATTTTCAATAATATTAAAGTAAGAAATGGGTTGACAGTTCACCCGATGGTATGTAGCTACTGCTGTTCATGGAACCCTGTAACCAATTTCAAAAAAAATAAAACCACGGGTATGTTGTCCTCAAACAGCTCAGAGGATTAAAATGAAATGCATCGCAGTCTGTAGTTGGCTGAAGAGCCCAGTAGTAGATACATTGTTGACTTCCAGTAGAAAAAAACATAAGTAACCCTGACGGAAGCTCTAGGAAGAATAAGAGCCCTTGAACGTAGTTAAATAATGCTGAAAGTATAGCAATAACTTGGCTTGTAAATTGTGAATATAAACAATTCGACCTGTACAGGGTAGAGGATTGGTATCATTAAATGTTATATCAATTAGTATTATGTTTTTTAAATATTGTTGTTCTTCAGGTCAGTATTTGTTACCTAAGATTCGAGATGCTGCTGGTCAAAAAGGGACAGGCAAGTGGACAGTCAATAGTGCACTTGAGTATGGAGTTCCCGTCACACTAATTGGAGAAGCCGTTTTTGCTCGTTGTCTCTCTGCACTCAAATGTAAGCTTTCATAAAGTGCATTTGGTTTAACACTTTAACTAAACAAAAAAGGGATTACTTCATTATGGGAAATTTTAATCTAATTTATAAAATTTATCAGCAAAAGTGAGTTAATAGTATATTTCATTACGAGTGCGGAAAGCCTGTTATTGCAAAGAGTTCCGACAAATGTCTACCCGAGCCGAGGAACAGCCGAAGGTGAGGGTTGACAGTCGGAACAAGTTGCAATGACGGTTCCGCACGTGTACTGAACAACTATTTTTAATACAGTTGCGAAAAAATGAAGCAATTTAAAAAAGAACATTTTTGGAAAATGGCGCCAACCGTAAAAGAATATGAGCAGAGATTTTTTTTGTTTTCTTCACCCATTCTGGGTAGGCAAAGAGAACTATGCCATTCAGCCAAGTCTTCAGTAGAATTTTTTTATTGATTTGAAATGAAAATGAAATTTAATGAGATGAAATGTAACCTAACCTAACTCATTGAATCAAATCTGATATTGAAATAAATTAGTAGCTTCTTTTTAGAAATATGTGCATGAATCATAAAAACTTCTATGATTTTTTTAAGTAAAAACTTCGTGGTTTTTTTTTTTTTTAATAGACATTATTTTGACAATTGGGAAAGAGAACGCACGAGTTCGGAAAAGGTAAAGAAAAAGCTCGAGTATGTAATAGCACACATCCCGAACGCTATACGTCCCTGCAATACGCCACTTTTTGAGCAACTGTATTAAAAATAGGTTTTATTATAATTTTATTCAATTTAAAAGGTTTGTTGCAAAAATATTGCCACATTCTAATTATTAGAAAAACATAGGAATATTATGATTATTTTAAAGTTCTTGGCAAGTTGAAGGAACAATAGTTTCATTTTTTGACAAATATATTAAAATGTAAGCATTTAAAGTATATGGTTACTGTTCAATTAAGAAAATAAAGGCACATAACATTCTATGTATATTTCTTTAGTTATCAGCCAGTTATTTCATATAACTCGTAGTAGTAACCTCATCATTATCCATAATATAGCTTGACGTTTTGGTAGTATAATATTATTTTAATTGTTTTATACAATTATAAATATTTGCATGCCTAATACAGGCAGAATATAGCTTGAACTATGGACATTTGTTAATTCTGGTACCACCTGTATTCTGTATATATAAATATTTCTTTCTTTTTTTCATATCATCGACATCATACTCTTACAATATACTTTACTTAATTTACCCAACACCACACTTTACAGTATGAATAAGAAGAGAACCTTCTTAAGAAGCTTTCTTTTTCATCATTGCTTGTTGATCTAAGTCGAATTACTATGATGTTGTTATACATACAATTTCAATTTCTGCTATAAATCAACAGATGAACGTTGTGCGGCCAGTAAAACACTCTCCACTGCAACAGTTAAATTCGAAGGTGACAAGGATGAGTTCATCCAATATCTTCAAAGAGCTCTTTATGCTAGTAAAGTCATCTCTTACGCACAAGGGTTCATGCTTTTACGAGAGGCTGCCCAGGTAATTAAATCATATGTTTAGTTTTCTATGGTTATAAATGTTGTAAATTAATTTTATTTTCCAATGCAAATAAATATGACGATTTAAATGATATAAAATTGTCAATATAAGTAGAACTTTAAATTATTATTACATTTCAGTAACAAAATAGCAAAACAAAGTGATTTCTGAGATTCTTTACTCTAAAAGAATAAAGTCTATTTTATTACTATATATATATATATATATATTATTTATTATAATTTATTTTAATACTTTAGGTCAATAACTGGCACTTGAACTATGGCAGCATTGCATTGATGTGGCGCGGAGGTTGTATCATTCGGAGTGCCTTTTTGGGCAACATTAAGGTAAGTTAAACCTCATTTTACTTTAATTAATTGTTGTATTAAGCAAATATAAGTGGAAGTAATTGTTATCAAATGATTATTACTTTGTCCATACTATACTTGGCTATATATCTGATTTTTTGACCAGATTTAACCTCCATAATATGAGTTTTAAATAAAGTTAGTAATCCAATTCTAAAGTCCTTCCATGTGTTACCACTCACTATCGAGTAATTGACTGTTGACTTATATGTCACTAATATAGAAAACTGGATGAAAGGGGTCGGCCTAAAATTTATTGTCAACATTAAAGTCCACCACAATCAACTATCTCTATCTTATATAATAAGAAAACGCGCCAAGTGCGAGTTGGACTGGCACATGTAGGGTTCCGTACCCATCACACCTTTCTAGCCTCCTTTAATTTTTAATTTATTTTTATTCTTTGTTATTATATCGGCAACAGAAATACACATTCTGTGAAAATTTTAACTGTCTACCTATTACGGATCATGAGATACAGGTACAGCCCGCTGACAGACAGACAGACAGACGAACGGACAGCGGAGGCTTAGTAGTGTCCCGTTGGTTACCCTTTGGGTACGGAACCCTAATAATCACTCTCACTCTGTCTGTTAGTCTCGTTAAAACTCAAAAACGGCTTGACTAATTTTGGTGAATTTTTTTCAGTGTGTTTGAATGGGTCCCTGGATGACTTAAACATTTTGACCCGGTAGGTGGCGCTGTTGTCGAGAGAAATCAGAAATCACCCGTGCGAAGCCGGGGCGGATCGCTAGTGCTTAATAAATAAACTGCTTATTTTTTCAAAACAGGAGGCGTTTACGAAGAATCCGACGCTCACCAATCTATTGTTGGATCCGTATTTCTCTAAGCACGTTTCCGCATCCCAAATGTCTCTGCGACGTGTCGTCTCACAAGCTGCATTATGTGGAGTTCCGGTGCCGACGTTGTCAGCTGCTTTGGCCTTCTTCGATGGTTATCGCTCATCAGTACTTCCTGCCAACTTACTCCAGGTAATTGTAATTTAGAAAATATTTTCCACAAGGTAGCTTAAACTTCTTGTTCAGTTCAGTTTTCAGTTTTCATTTTGAGTATTTTTAATAAGGATAGATAGTATTTTTATTACTGTAATATATTGTTATTATAAATATTATAAAAGGCCTTTTGCAAAGTGTGGTTGAAGGTTGTATTTTATCATGAATTTTAACCAACTTTGAAAAGGAGGAGGTACACAATTCGACTATTTTTTTGGGTCAACTTTTTCTAGGTGAACTGATTTTGATGGTTCTTTTTTTATCCGAAAGTTGATGTATCTCATGTGCTCCCAAATTGATTAAGGTCTCATCAGTAGTTTTTAGACAAAATTTTTAATTTTACCTCTTGTTAATTTTATTATTATTCTCTTTTTCTATTCAGGCTCAACGTGACTACTTCGGCGCTCATACTTACGAGTTACTTAATAAGCCGGGCGAGTTTAGGCATACCAATTGGACTGGACATGGAGGAAATGTTTCAGCTTCCACTTACAATAAGTAAAACGTTCTCAGTAAATTGTGCGGCGATCAACTCCAGTGTTTCTAACAGCATTTTAAGCATATTTTGCTAAATTTTATACTTTTTTTTGTTATACTATATCATAGTTTATTATTAATGTAAGTAAAACTGTTTTTCTTCAAGTATGGATTCCTGTTACATGAACAAGGTGGTAAACTAAAGTTTGTTATAGTTTTACATTCCTTTCACAACTTCTTAATTGCTTATTTTATTAAATAGATTGTTAAGTTTCTTGTGGGTCCAATTTTAGAATTAAGAAGACGTTTGTCTTACGCATTTTATAATATGCATCAAATACAGTGATGACGCTCCGTATTTTTGAAAGTTTTCTAAATAAAAATATATAATATGTTTATTAGTCTTTTAATTTTATTGAATCCTTTTTCAATATAATTTTTATTAAATTATTATATTTATTATTTTGACCTGAGTCACGAAAATGTGTGTTTTTGTGCGTGTATGAGTGCGTGCGGTACGCAGCGTGCTTGCATAGGTGGGTACGTGCGTGCCAAAAAACGCGCGTGCACGCGTTTATTCACATAATGCGCATGTGCCTAAGTATAGAGAAAAATTGAAAGTGCGTTGAGTGCATAACGTTTTTTTATAATATTTTAATATTGAAACGACACAAGCTTATAGTTCGTCTGATAGTAAGTGCTACAGCAGCTCACGGACACCGAAGAAGGGACATAAGGACTTGTAACTATCCTGACCCTCTTACGTCAACTTACTGTATCCAAATCTCGATACAGCATTGGGTGTTCAGATGCTTGACTGTGAGATTAGGTAAAAGGGGAGGTACTATAATTAATTAAAGGTTGCTTGACTTCTGTCTTCTGTCAAAGTTAGTAAAAAAAGTATATTAAAGTTTAATAACTTGAAACTATGTAGATTTCTATTATCAATGAAACAAATCCCATATATGTAGATTTTATAAAAACAACCCAAAAAGGGTGCTAAAGATATAAATTTATGTTTAAATCAACCATTCTCAAACTCCCATCTATCAGAGGAAATCGGGTATAAAGGAGGAGTATTAGACTAGATACGTTTTAATCGGGTAAAAACAAAGCTACACGGGCCAAAGAGAATATAATCACTTCACGGGCCACCGAGAAAGTATTTTCAAGCTCTTGTATGGATAATAGACAATAAACGTAGTGATTATGGATTATTATTATGTTCCATAGATAAATAGATTATTATAGAAATTATGTTCTTTAATTGACAATTGACAAAAAATGGCATGATAAATTTGTTTGCGTAAAGTAATAGCTCAGCTATTTAAAATTATTTACAGTGATAGTCATAAAATTTACAGTATTAATATTTTTGGTTATCTATTTTCGGAATTAGTTCTGATTTATTTTTCATATTATTTAACTGCAAATATTAATTTGTGTCTGTGTACCCGTATACTTTTTATTCATGTGTAATTTCACCAAAAAATATGGTGTATGGCCTGATTTTGGCGGTTTTTATTCTTGCATTTTGGGCTCCATGTGTGAAGAAAGGTCTATGGGTGAAACCAGGGCCCGTCTACGCGAAGGATCGTAAAAACCGAGTGTTTCATATAACGCCAACAGGGGCATGCTGTGACAAATGTTAAAATACAATGTTTATAAGCCTGAATTTTCCTGTTATTTGATAATGCGTATTTGAAATATATTTACATAAGTACCTACCTGTTTCTTGTTTATAATGTGTTGTACCATGCAATTTATTTTTCCTTTACCAGTATATTTTTAACAATTCACATAAGGTGATACATAAAATCGACCATCAAGAGTACACTGTAGCTGTAGGTTATGCGGTAGGATTAGCGAGTGTTATGCGTAATTGTTACTTATTCTGCTTATCAGCCGGTTAGATCTTTCCATATGCCAATAGTTTTTGATAATTGTTAAAAACAATCTGATCATGATAATATGTGTTTTGTTTGCAGAAGAGAGATAAAAGAGCATATAGCTCACCTGATGGTAACTACCGCCACCCATAATCAACTACAACACCAGGGAAATTGCAAGTGCGTTACCGGCCTTTTAAACAAGAATAGGCTCTTTTCTTGAAGGCCCCTGAGCTAATTAAGCACTCCCCGTGGTAAATGTGATACAACAATGCAAGGGGTTGTACCATTTCTTCGCAGCGCTAGTAAATCGAGACGTTCAGAATAAAATCGATCGTCGACGGGCTGGTGTTTGCTTGATGCGGTTAAGTGTAAGGAGCAGACACTGGGGTTGCGCGGCTCCAATATGAGAACAGAATTAAAATCACGCCGGCAGAGAGATTTTTGAGATGCAAGCGGTGTGCCGGCATGATTTACCTACTAAGCACACCAAGCTTATTAGAGGCCAACTAAGCCCTCCCTTTCTAGTGATGAATGTTACTCGATATTTTGATGCTGGGGATTCCGATGCTGGCTGAAGCAGCAAGAGGTACTGAAATTGAAGACATAGGTGCGACGAAGGGGTTCTTTTTAGCGTCATCGCGCAAACCTGTATCTTCTATTGGATTAAACTCGACTAGACTAACTTATTCATCCCCAATTCGAGACCTTGCTTAACAAAAAATCAACTTTAGGTACAAGTTTATTCAATTACTTAAAAACGTGTTCATCCAAAACATTAGCATCACTAATCAGCTCCATTATTTTGGAGAATGAGGAATTGATGCCGATAGGCCTGTAATTGGACGGATTTTCGCGGTCGCTTTTTTAAGAGATTGGTGAACCAAAGCTGTCTTCTATGAGTTCAGATCTACGCCTAAGAATTAGGAATACTGAAAAGACTCGCAATAACCGGTGTCACACCGAAGTACAACACAAAGAACTCCATCAGGTCCACTCGATTTGTTGAATTCCAGGGTGAGGAGTACCTACTTTGCGCATTGAGCACTCATGGAATAAAGAGTTCCATTCCCTTAAGTATCACATAGCGACAGAATCAACAACAACGTTGGAATCATTGGGGGAGAAGTAAATCTGGGGTGGGTTTGCTTCTGGGTTTCTTCATGGGTAGGATAGGATACAAAAAAAGATCGCATCACATCCCAATCCACAGCCAGCACTTTGTAACCGCGATGGGTGCCTGAGCGGCACCGTACTCCGGATCAGACAGTGGTCCGAAGAGTAGGGAGGAGCATAGACGTAAATTTGATGTCTGGTTGTATGAGAGGTTAACAGAACATCTAACAGGGAAGGTGTAAGGTCCTTCACATCCAGAATCAGCGTGGGCGAAGCAACCATTTATGTTAAACCATATACCCAAGGTAAAGTCGTAAACAGAATCCCCCGCAAGATCGGTTGTACGAGAACCATGCCATTCAGCTTGGTTGGGAATGGGATCTGTAGTTATTTGGACTTTTACATTTGGACATTACCGTTGTAGGACCTACACTCCATAAATACAAGAAGTGAAATTAGATCTAAAAACCCGTACTCGCTGGAGAAGTATAAAGTCCATATTTCCGCAGCGCTGGATCAGTTATTCTATGAGTATGCAATGCGTAATTGGTATCGATTCTGTTCGTTGTGGTATTTTTTAGTACAAGATAACATAAATTGAAAATTTAATAAATCCCCGAAAACAACCCTAACAAATCAGTTGATGACCTTGAAATGGCTGAACCTTTTATAGGATCGAGTGACAAACGAGCACACAGTCTACCTGATGGTAAGTGGTTGCTGTGGCCCATAGACATCTACATCTATCCTCGTTTGCAAATCAATATGCAGATGCGTTGTCACCCGTGAGGACTAAGATAGAATGCCTCTTTTCCAGTAAAAAGGGTCGCCGGTTCTCTACACTCACCATACGAAACACAGCTGTGTTAAACTGCTATTTTACGCTGGTATTCTGTGAGAGCGTGGTCCTTCCCCGGTCGAGCCGACCCATTCGTGCTACAACTATACTATTAATATAGCTGCAGCATGGCTCTACCACGTTACCACCTAGGTTAAAATGAAGGTGAGATTGGAGAAAGGTTGCCACTTGTCCTATTGAAATATTATGCAGTGTTGGCTGTTGCATACTTAATCTAGTTTTATGTTAGCGTGTGATCTCGTCACACTGATGAGTGATTATAACCTGGACATATTACAGTATGGTCGAATTGTAACTGCACTATACTGAATATTATATAAGTAGCGGCACGAAAGTCTAGCGGTGGCCGTTATTGCGCATAAGTCGCGTTGATTGGCTCGTGAGTAACGTTCGCACGCGCTGATTGGCTCTCCAGTCGCATTCGTGCAATTCTCCACGTGCCCCCTCCACGTGCACCCTTCACGTTTCGTTCAGAGCTAGACTTACGTGCTGCGACTTATATAGGTACGTTGCTTTATTGCTTATAAAGATTAATTGCGTGGCCGAGACAGTAAATTGAACATCCTGTCGCACACTATTATTATTTAAGGTCTTGATGAACTTCCAACCTACCGTACAATATAGGTAGGTATAAATAAATAAATAAATAAAATAGCCCTTATTTCTGCTACAATACAAACTTGACATATGATTAATTTAGGTTATAATAGTATATTATAGTTAATATGTATCTTTTTGTGATATGTATAATTATGTTTTTTTTATAGGAGAGGGGGCAAAGGAGCATGCGGCTCACCTGATGGTAAGTGACTACCGCCGCCCATGAACAACTGCAACACCAGGGAGGGAATTGCAGATGCGTTGCCGGGCTTTTAAAAAGGAGTACGCTCTTTTCTTGAAGGTCCCTAAGTCGTATCGGTCCGGAAAAATCGCTGATGGTAATCGATTCCACAAGGAAGTCGTGCGAGGAAGAAATCATCTTCTAAATCGCACAGTGGTGGACCGCCAGTCACCCAGATGATGTGGATGGTATCAGGAGTTCTACCGCGATGTGCGTTCGTGAAATTTGGCGGCTGGGATTAATCCAAACTAATTTTTTGAGCTTTCCCAATTCTTGCGTTGAAATCTCCAAGTTTAGCTGGTAGAGAATGCCATATAGCATTAAGCTCGCCTTTTGTACAAATATTTATATTTGGTGCAATAAAGAATAAATAAATAAAATTATATTTTTGGCGTGAATAGAGTAAAGGCGGTTAGTACTGTTGTATAAAAATGTTCTATATCTTCTTTATTGCATTACTCTGTGGGGGCATATAATTGGACGAGTGACCAGGTAGAGTTAACAGATGTTAGTATTTCAAGTAACGCCACCCGACCTGAGAAACATTATATTCACTATATTATACTTTAAATGTTCTTTAATCAGGAATTCCACTCCATTTCTTCCGTTCGTCCCAGATGTATGAAATAAGATAAAATCGGTGTGTTCCTCTATTGCTTCTTTTTGTCTTCTTGTTTCACATAAACCTAT